TGTAAATATGCTTATGCCATAATAAAAAATAGTATTTTGCTTATAATAATTACCACTGACCACTAATTATGTACCACTCAATTATCACAACAAACCTATGAGATACACATGTTTACCCCCATTTTACAGATCAAGAAAAATGAGTCTAAAGTTTAGATACTTGTCTGATATCACAGGATTAGTGGATAGAGATGACAGATCTAAACCCAGATCTGAGCCCCAGAAGCCTGTGGTTTAACCACTAAGCTACACTGCTTCGCTGCCTCTCAGGGCACACACTACAATCTTGTGTTGTTTTCTGTTCTTTGTTTTTTTTCTGCATTTTGTTTATTTGTTGCCATTGCAGGTTGAATATCCTTGATCTGAAATGCCTAGGAAGAATTTCCAATTTGGGATTTTTTTTTTCAAATTTGGAATATTTGCATATCATGAGATATCTTGGGGACGGACCAACTCCAAACACTCAACCCATGCACATGGCCTGAAGGTTCTTTCACACACAGGTGTTCCTGTGACCCACCACAGTCTAATTTTTCAATTGTGGCATCTGTCAGTGCTCAAATACTACCAGCTTTTGGAGTACTTCAGATTTCAGATTTTTCAGATTAAATATGTTCAACCTGTATTTGCGGAGCATTTTCTATCTTCCAGGTACTGTTCTATGCACTTTTCCCGAATGAGCAAACTTCATTTTCATATCAACTCTCTATGGTAGGTACTATGGTTAGTCCTCTTACAGATAAGGAAGCTCACGCCTAAGTTCCCTGCCCAGGGGCTGTGGATGCGAATCTCACTCTAGACCACTTATCTGCTTCCTCAGTGAAACAGTGACTGCCTGGAGCAGAGAGTCCATCTTCCTCCTCTCTGATTCCCCTGCAGCCTCCAACACACAGCCTCTCACAGAGAAGCCCTTCATCACCACCCACTGAATTAGATCACTAACAAAGGCACAGGACACTTGTCTATCTTCCTGCAGACGCACATTACCAACAGTTTCCTACTTCCCTTTCTTGAGCCAGGGATACACGTGACAGTCAGCCCTAACATGGGTTCCCCAACTCCACCAGGTCTCCCACACACACACCTTTGCACCCCTTCTTCCACACATGTAGATGACACGAGGAAGCACAGATGTGCAAACCCTCTGCAAAATACCAGTCGACTCTGCCTGCCTTTGGCAGATAACCTACAGCAGGGACATAGATTCCCAGCCACTCACACTTAAGAGTCTTCAGTTACATGTAGCCAGACCCCCCTCCCCCTGAGAAAAAAAGCAAATTCCTGGCCAGGAGATTTTCAATCAGTGAGTAAGCTTAGACCCGGGGAAGGCGCGCAAAGCTTCCACAAGAATCCACAAATCCATATGTACACCGAACATCTGAAGGCAGTTTGGTACATCTTGCATATAAAGCCAAAACTATTTTTCTAATGTATATTTTATTAACTGCAATGGCAAATAAAACATTAAAGTCATCTAAAAGCTTTTCTGAATTCATAGGAGCTTTGAGTCATTTGTTTTCCCAATAAACAGAAATAAAAATGATAACTGCTGTTTGGAAGGAATAGTGTGAATTACTGACTTTTAGAAATGTCCTCAATTTCAGAAAAAAAGTTGGAAACCACTCAAAGCAGATAAAAATGAAGTGACAGCAACTTCCAGGGAAGCTTGAGGACTTAGAACTGCTCAGAGATCAGGAGCCGGACCTGATCCCCTGAAAGTTTTCCTCTCCCACCCCAGTCACCATGGTGGGATGCCATGCCTATCTTTCTTGGCTGAATAAGAATGTATTAGAAGAAGTGTAATGAGCACAGGATGTTATGGAATCTGCCTAGGAAACGAGGAACAAATACAAGGAGAAAAAAAATGAGGTTTAGGGTTGGGGGAAGAAGGAGGGGAGTTAGTAGGGTTGTGCTGTGCCTGTCACCTCCGGACACAACCGTGTCTACAACCCCTATGGCCACCCACCCATACACGTGAAAACAAACACACATATATGATACACATGTATCTGCATGTACATATGGCCTTACCTCAAGCCTTTGTTCTCTCAAATGCTTATTAATAGCTCTTCATTCATTCCACAAATCTTTATCAAACTCCCACTAAGTGCCTGGTGCTATATTAGGTGCAGTGAATACAGAATGAACAAAGACATATCCTGCCCTTTATCACACACCCCTCTCAACAGACCACACACAGACATACCCATACCACATACACACAGCAACTCTGCCCCTGCTAGCTGTCGGACACCCACCCAATACCTCCCTTTCCTATTTCTTACATATCACACACACACACACACACACACATACACAGTGGGTCAGGCACACAGCCAGCTCTCTCAGCTGCAACACAGCTAACACAAACATTAGTCTGATGCACACCCATTTGATACTCAAGAACCATTCCTTTCACTCAAACGCATCTTCTACACACATATACACCTGCATTCAGTGGCACACACCTTATTTGTTGCACTGGAAGCCTTTGAAGCCAATGAAAGGCTTTCAAAGAATGGATTGACCATTCTGGGTACAGTTTTCATATACCCAAGCCCAGTTCAGACACAGTGAAATCATGGACCTGTTACTGTAACTTCCCCCACAGCTCAACCGGTTCATCTTAGCCAGGCACAGAGGTGCACACCTAGTATCCCAGCAAATCAGGAGGCTGAGGCCAGAGGATCACAAGTCTAGAGTAGCCTCAGCAACTTAGCAAGGCCCGGTCTCAAAATAAAGAATGAAAAGGGCTGGTCATGTAGTTAAGTAGTAGAGCACCCCAGGTTCAATCCCCAGTACCACCAAAAAAAAAAAAAGAGAGAGAAGA